TTTAAAAAAAAGCATTATTTGAAAAGACCAAACTGGATCTCACCTATGGAAGCTATATTATATCCAAATACAAGGGACACTAAAAAAATGATTAGATATAAAGAATTGGTAAATGAACAGGGGGAATTAAAAACACTGGATAAACTAAAAGCACAAGGGATAATATTAGACTGGTGGGTATATTTGCAAATTCAAACTAAATTTAAGAAAGATGTAAAGGAGCTAGGGATAGATAAAGACTTACAAAGATTGGACCAAATCTTGACAGGCAAGGATATAAAATTTATAACACAAACATATAATTATTTACTGGAGGTAGAACTAGAGGAGGAAATTGTTAAGGGACCAATGATTTCCTGGGCAAGAAATGTGGGTCATAATATAAATTTGGATGAGTGGGAAAAGACTTGGAACGAGAACTGGAAGCTGACTTTGTCGACGGCATTCAAAGAAAATCAATATAAAATGTTTTGTAGATGGCACTTAGTGCCGGCACGACTGGCGAAAATGTATCCAACCTTGAAAATCAGAATGCTGGAAGTGCAAACAAAAGAAAGGAATGTTTTTCCATATGTGGTGGCAATGTATAGAGGTAAAAAAATACTGGAAGAAAATACAGAGATGGCTTTTTGAGATTACAAAATATAAATTGAATTTGGAACCCGAAACGTTTTTATTAGGTATGATCAAAGGGAATTTGAGTAAAGATAAAAGATACCTTATTGTACACATCTTAACTGCAGCAAGAATCACGTTAGCACAAAATTGGAAGAGTGATAAAATACCACAAGATGAAGTTTTGATTCAAAAAATAATGGACTGTGCTGAACTAGATAAATTCACTATGGAACTGAAAGGCAAAGAGGATCGAGAATACTATGCGACATGGGAGAGGTGGTACGAATGGGTGAAGGATAAGGATAAAAATAATGTATAGTCACAAAATAAGAAACATGTATATACAATGACACAATAACTGTTAATGGAAATGGGATTTTTGTATTTTTTGTTTTTAAAGAATAAAAATTATAAAAAAGAAAAGAAAAGAAAACCTCCAGTGATAGAGCACAAACAGCTGCAAAGGCAACCCGTTTTATTGATTAATTGCTCTCATTTTCAGGAATTTTTTCCTGTGTTCCAGGCTGGATCTCCCTCTGGTGAGCTTCCACTCATTGCTTCTTGTCCTTCCCTCAGATGCTATAGACCCCCTCTTCTCTGTGTCAGTCCTTCCATGTATCAGAGGACGGCTATCATGTCACCCTTAACCCTTCTCTTCATTAGGCTAAACATTCCTAGTTCCCTTAATTGTTCATCATACAATTTAACCTCCAGACCTCTTATCATCTTTGTTCTTCTCTGCACTCTTTCTAGGGCTTCAGCATTTTTTTTTTGTATTGCAGTGTTGCTTGGGTAGTCTCAAGAGAACGCTGTTCTACTTAGGATAGCAATGTGACCTATATGTGTTGGTATCTGGACTGAAGACCTCTTGCTATTGTTAATTTTTTTGAATTTTCTGCATGTATAATTATTGATACATGTCAATGAATACACTTGTACCCATTGACCCGATTTCCCGAACCAAGTAAGAATTCAGCATGGTAAACAACTTAAACATTAAAAAGCAGCCAATTTGGATAAACAAGAAACAGTATAAACAACAATTGGAAATGTCCTGTTTATTGTGTCTTGTCTGCTTAACTCCATATAGAAATTACCTTCTTAAAAAAACAGTGGTGTGATGTCACGGAGTTTAACACTTAATTGGCTGTGGATTGGGGGAGGCTGGGCTGATGTGATGAGCAAACTCTGCCAGTTCTTGGCAAATGCCAGTCAGTGTTGATTTGATAGATTTACATCCTGTCTTCACCTCGGGAGCTCCAAGTGATATAAACAATGCACCCTCTTCTTATTTTTCTCATTACAAACAATCCTATGAGGTGAGTTGGGCTGAGAGAGAGGGACTGCCTAAGGTCACTTAGTGAGCTTCGATTGATTTGAATCTAAATCTCTCTGCTGCCAGGCCAACACCTGAACTACATAACTTTGGCAAGTAGAATCTGGCCTGCCAACTGACAAGAACATAGAGAAACTATGCATCACAATGGATTATCAAGGCTTTACACAGGACCATGTAGCTTAGAATAATAGAGACGGGAAAGGGCCTAGTGATGGGAAGTCACACTTAATTACAATTGCGAGTAAATAGGGAAGTCACACTTAATTACAACTGAGGTTAAATAACTGAAAATAGCTAAGCAATAGAAATCCACTCTCAACAATGGAAGCTCACCAGATGATTCAGGGCCAATCATGTTCTCCTAAACCAATTGACTTAAGAGAGTTCCTATTATGGGGAAAACAGAGAAGGGGGCACCATATAGGCAATCTTGAACTTCTGAACGAAAGGCAGGATATAAGTTTAAGGAAGAAAGAAATTACTCTCAGAAGCTGTAGCATTTGGGTTCCTTGTTGCAGCTTGGAAGTTAAGTAGTATGAGTTCTTGTATTGAGTTCTTGTATTGGAGGAATGGCGATATCAGGGCTATGGAATCAACCAGAAAATTGATTATTTTTTTTCCAGAAGACAAGGGCAAATCACTTTTGTACTATTACCAAAAACCTGTTCAACAACAAAATTGAGTTTGGTAGTTCCCCAATAATGTATCATAGCTCTATCCTAAGATGTGGTTTTCCAACCTGGCTTAATTATTTTAAATTGTATTACTGTAATGCAAACATACCCACAGGCTATGTTAAAAATCTATTCTAGAGGACATCCTACAAATATTCAACCAGAAATAACTTGACTCATATGTACTGTATATAATTGGCAAAGAGAATAGAAAGCTAATTTTTCAAACAAAGTTTACAGTGAAATAAATGTCCAATTGACAGAAGGCAATATAGACATACAAGCCTTGATTTTTCTGGACAGCCATATAGTGAGCTTTAGATGCAATGAACCAAATTTTAGTTTGGACTTCACATAAGTAGTTAATTTAACAAGTATGTATTAACTTGATTTGCATAATTACAGCAATCTCATAGACAGACATAAATGTAAAAAATAAGTTATATACCATTATTAACATAAAGTAAATTAATTCAAATGACATAAACTGATGCAAAATTTTGGTTTAATGGACTTTTAGTTTTAATAAACCTTGACAATAAATGGTCATGTATTGTAACCACTGTAACAACCTGTGCAGTAAAGTAAACACATCTTCCCAAATCAACTGTCATTCTCCAGCAAATGAAGAGAGAGGGTTTCTGGGGTCATACTCAGATTTAATTCCTGGCATTAAGATCTTTAGGTGAAATGGATGGGGAGGATTTTTAGGAGACAAGGGAAGAGAAAAGCAGACACTTGCAAACTCATTAGAATAGATCAGACATGATACAAAGCTTCATGTGTTGTGAAGCTGGTGCAGGAGTTATCATGTGAGAGCACGACACTCCATCCTCGAGAATGGTGGGGGGAAGGGGTCTCTACAATCCAAACGCCACACACTGGGGCTACAGGTATCTATATTCATAAACAGCATTTGCCTTGGAATGAGTACTGCATGCTGTTCGACAATCCCATAGAATTTGTAGTTCAGATTTTTTTCTAACTTTCCTCTGAACTGAGTTCACATACATATGGATTTTTGAAAGAGACATGTTTGGCAGTAGAATATTTGTTTGTGAAGCTCAATACTATTTCCTTGATCAGCAGAAGTTTTATCCATCTCTGCATGGAAATATCCTTTTCATTAGTAATGGTAGGGATTCAGTGCCAACCCAGGATCATTTTGCCTCTTGAGCCAATCATTTTTGGCCTCATCTATCTTGTTACACTACTGTAGGAATAAAGGAAGAAAATCACTCTTTTTTTAAAAAAAATGGACTAAGTTGTATGTATTACAAGGGGGGCGGGAGATAAATTCTGTTAAAAAATGAGTTTCCAGCATGTGGAATTATAGAAATGGATCCTATAATTACTAAAATTGAATATCTCATATAGTACCTACTCTAATCTAACAGTGGGTAAATATGTTCTAGAACTGAGTAAGCAAATGGGGAATTCTGAGACTTGAATGGTTCTTCGTAATGTGTTACCTTGTAAAAAGATTTAATTTTTCTGAAGTTTGAAAAAAATGGCAACTTTTGCAAGATATGATTTTCTGCATATCTGAAGAAATGAATCAGATGTTTTCTGATTTTGTGACAATCAGTTTAGAATCTTGGGAGTTCTATCTGCTATAACACTTATAATCCTTAAGACATGTTAAATACACTTTAAGAGTGTATTTAACATGAAGAACATTGTGTGCACATTTGCAGGTTTCTCATGTAGAAGAGAATTCAAACTTGACCACAGACTACTCTTTAAGCAAGAATTCTAGTAAACATTTTTATAAGGCTTCACAACCCTCTGATCCAATATGGTTATTCTTATATTTTCTAAAATAAAATTTAATATGACTAATTCTCTGTTTTTAATTTTTACCCAATTTTATCAAAATGATCATACACCATCATTGGCTACTTTTTAAAAACGCAAGTGCTATGTAAGTAATATAAGTAATTAGTGATAAACTAAAATGTCTTTAATGGGGCCTTTAAAGTTTTCACATTATTATCATTTATTACAAATTAACATAGCACCACCTGCTACTCGATACATAAATCTTTAGGTAAAATGGGACACAAGCCGGAAATAAGTTTCTTCAGATGAGTGAATTGAAATTAGACAGATTCTCTCAGGCTAACAGGAACAGATGTGGGGGTGGTGGGGTGGAGACTAGGCAGAAGAATGGTATGAAGTTCAAACTATCTGTGTCAACTAGCTTGCCACTGAAGGTTATGAACTCATATTTAAAGAACATTGAATGTTAAGCCAAAGAGAAAATTGCATAAATAGTCCCAAAACTATTCTCAGTCATAAAATCAAAATGAAAATTCCGTTATTTTTTCCCCCGAAGGTTTGAAACAAGTACTCCGAGCCTACCGTACCAAGAAATGACAGGAGGCTTCGCTCATCTTCTGTGCTGCTATCCAGCCACTCGGCCGCATCCCCAGGAGAAAGGAGACTCATTCTCCAGCTAGAAAACTTTTCCATACAGTAGATAATGGCAGCATAAATCTGGGAAGGGAAAGCGGGGAAATGCGGAGGGTCTTGGGAGGCCAGTACTTTGGCTTCTTGGCTGAACCAAATAAAATGGAATGTAAAAAAAAAAGAAAGAAAGTGTGGCCTGACTCCGGTCTCCCTGGCTGACGGACTTATCTGATTAAAAGACAGAGGCGGGAGAGATTTGATGTCAGCTCCTCAGCTCAAGCAGGAAGAGTAAAAAGAAGATGACAGGCTGGTGGCCTCCAGTTTAAAAATGACAAAACAGCTTTTAAAAATGCGGAGGCATGGAAAGACAAAGAGAAATGACCAAGCTACAGCAAACATTAGCAAAGCCATGCAGTTAATAAAGTGTAATATATGACGGCCCTCCTTTTAGGGGGGGAAAAATGATACAAAATTCTTGTAGCTTTGTTTTTCAGTTTTCCGAAGGAAGACCATTTAGAATCCTGCCAACAACAGAGAGGTTTGCATCGCCACCAGACCTTCCCTGCTCCAGCTACAATTACAGTAGCGTCTGACTCGCTTACAACACATTTGCTCATGCAATGGCAGGTTGATCAATCTGTGAATAGGAAGAGTCCCTCCCTCCTTCCCCTCCCTCCGCATGACAGCTGCATTGATCGACAATAATGGAATCTGTTTCTGACTGCCAACAACAGCATTAAGGATATTAGAACAGCTCCTCTTCATCAGAATGAGAAGCAGCCCAACGCAACCCTGGTTCGACTTTGGCCTCCTTGGTTAATAGGGCTCCCTCCTATCCTTTGGGAAAGGACAAAGAAAAGAGTCAGCAGAAACAAGGCCTGTTAGGAGGATCAAGGGAGCCACAGCTACAGAAACAGGGTCCAATTAGTTGACAAAGAAGAGAGTATGTGGAGGCTGCCCACTGCCCGTGCCTGTTTTGTGGTTGTACATTGGGTTTATCCTGTGTTTTTTTTGGCAACATAAAACTGTGGGTGGGGGGAGAGAATGTTTTATATGACTTAAAAGGTCACTTTTCAGGTTTGCACAAGTGAAAGTGATGACTCCTGGAAAATGAGAGACATCTGGACTTTTACAAATCAGAAGCCTCTTTCTCCCTCTGAGACCTGTGCTGATGTTCTGAGAAAAATCATTCTCATTAGAGGAATAGGACCCCTTATTATTCTTTTAAAATAAGTCTACATACAACTCCTATACAACTCCCATTTCTTATTCCTGCACCCTACTACTTATCATTACAAGTAACCTTTTGAAAGGAAATTACATAAAAACCATAACAAGGGTCAGCAAAACAAACCAAAAAAGTACATTCAGGCTAGGAAAGCATATAGGCAGGGAGAGATGGCATCAATTCTCAGTAGGAGAAAAATTCCAATTACAGGTAGTCCTTGACTTACGGCCATAATTGAGCCCAACATTTGCTAAGCAAGACATTTGTTAAGTGAATTTTGCCCCATTTTACGATTTTTCTTGTTGCAGTTACTAAGTGAATCACAGACGGTGTTAAATTAGTGAAACTTGTTAAGTGAATCTGGCTTCCTAATTGACTTTGTTTATCTGACGGTCAAAAAAGATGATCACACGACCCTGGGACACTGCAACTGTCATAAAAATAAGTCGGTTGCCAAGTGTCTAAATTTTGATCGCATGACTATAGGATGCTACAACGGTCATAAGAATGAAAAAGGGTCATAATTCCCTTTTTTTCAATGCCATTGTAACTTGGAATTTTTTCACTAAATGAATTGTTGTCAGTCAAGGACTACCTGTATTTCACTATTCTGTAACGTATAATGCTCAACCCAGAATTTATTTACAAAGGCGCTCTTGATCATTTATATGCTCAGGGAAAAGTGTAACAGATGATGGAGTGAACCTTCAAGTACATTTGATTTGTTTATGCGAAACCGAATCCATAGAAAAAAACTATGCCATGTCTGTGAAATACTCAAACTTCAAACTGTAAAGTATCAATATGTAGCTTAAAACATATCCAAAAGTCTAAACATCAATATGTATATCATAACCAGAGATTGTTTTTAGAAATATCACAGGCTTGACATTTAGGAGTCTAAGCAGCTTTTGTTTTCCTGTGGATTTAGAAGTTGAATTTCTGATAAATGAAGCTTCAGAGAAGTTTGCGTATAAGCATTTTATAATGCATTCTAGTAGCATGATCATTCATAATGCATGCAAACACTAGAGCCTTGACAGCCATGCAAGAGACGCTTTGTGTGCACAAAAAGCAGGAGTGAAACTATAATAAAGTGCATTATCTTTTTAAGCATTATGAAGCCACAAAAAATGGAGCTATGGAACTGACTCAAACTAGTCCAAAGGGTCTTCACTGACTAACTGTAATAATTTTTTCATATTATTGAAACAATATGTGTTAAAATGTCTAAAGCTAATTGAGACTGAAGGAAAGTATTAATTTAGCATATTTCTTCTCACTCCAAGTTACCAGGTTTGGCAGCCAAAGCTCAGAATGTCTACATATAAAACAACTGACAAGATTTTTGGAGGTCTGCATCATAGCAATTACTTTGTATCATAAGAAAATAAAACTACACCATGAACGTTAAGCTGTACACCTCACTTGTGCACTTTAGTTATAGAAGGATAATAGAATAGCCATGGAAATTAAGACAAGCCTGAAAATGCAGCATATTATTGCAATGTTCGATCAGTTTCACAAAACAACAGTATATGCCATGTTCTCCAATGCCCTACCGATGTGGCATGACTCTAAGGGTGCTTCTAGTTGCTTTCACATCAACTAACCAACCCAACAACTCCTTGGTACGAACTGAAGACATTTCTTGGATGAGAAGTGAAATGTTTTCAAGGAAAAACTAAGTACAGCTGCCTTTCAAAAAAGCACCTTTGGGACAATTCCTCGGCACATTCCCATAAACAAATGTGTTCCTCTTCAAAGCACGTGTTCTTTTCTTCCATCTGCAAACCTGGCAAGTTTTACTAGATGCAATGAGCTATTATCAGCATTAAGGTGGGATATGTTATGTCAGTCACCAATCTGGCCCATCCTTTTCATTTCAGATGGAAAGCAAATCAGAAATGGGTGGGAACACAGAATACATATTTCCTCTTATGCAATGTTATGATTGGTCTAGCTGCATCTGTTTGGCAGAAATTAAGTTATTACTTCTGTAAAGCAGAGTAGTCCATCCAAAAAGGAAAGCTGTTCTCAAATGTCATAGATCACAAAACTTCATTTGTTTTTATGGTACCTTTAAGTCAGCCTTGACTTCCAGCAACAGCTGGACTGGTCCCTGCAATTTTCTTGGCAGGATTTCAAAAGTGCCTTGGCATTGCCTGCTTTCTAGAGCTGTGACTGACTGACTGGCCCAAAGTAACTGGCACCTTACAAACTTAAAGCCCAAGTTAGGGCACAACTGATATGTTAACCACCACATCAAACTGGCTCTTTTTATCCTTTGATGCTGTTAGGCAGCATCAAAGGATAAAGACTAAGGCACGACTTATTTCTTGTAATTGTGTCTTACCTTACTGCTTTGGTAAAATATCCAATGGTATAATTCCTGTATTAGCCCACAGCTTGTCAACACAAGTTAACTACTTCTCATTTTCTTAAGTTCATTCCAGTACATGCTTCATCCTGAAAGAGAGGCAGCTATCCAGCAAAAATTTGCATGTTATGCATACTAAGTGGAAATAATAATACCCTAATCAGCAGTGTCCAATGCTTCACCTGGAAATAATAATACCCTAATCAGCAGTGTCCAAGAGAATGAAAACACCTCCTCTCCAATTCCAATGGAGTGGCCTATCTGTGTTTAAAAGTATTGTTACTTTTTCTTTGGAACTGCTATGTTTCAATTCTTTGGCTTTTCATGGGGAATTCTCTATTGCCCTTTAATTTTAATACTGCCACAGGCTCATCATGTAATCTTAGGTGAGATATTTTTTGTTGCTAGCCATTTTATATATGTATGCATGGGAACAATACAGAGAGACTAGGGAATTCAGAACAGTATAAAGAAACTAACTATTAATGTATGAGAGAGCAATATTTTCCTGAATGGCTGATTCCAGAACACTAGTCGGCTGATTCAAATCACAAATTGATGGACTGACTGCAGCTTCCTGTTGGTTGTCTACTTGGCAGTACATCATGTTTTGCTCAGGGCAGTACATTAAATGATCTTGATTGATACTTCACATTAATATATCTTGATGGAGATTGAAAAGGCAGACATACTTTCTGTAACTCTTTTTTAAAATAATCAATGTATCTGCTGACTACTTCTTATAATCATCCGTATGATAATGAATGACAGATGGACTTAAAGGTGGGATAAATGACATTAAATAACTTCAACTATCAAAGGAACCAGCACTACTTCACATGAGAAACTGAAGGCTGAAACATTCCTGCACAATTTGAATTAATCAGGTGGACAGGCAGGAACTTGTCACCTCCAGCCGTAGGTATTCTCATTTTGCGAAAGGTCATTCTGGAATTTCAAAAGAAGTATAGGCATGCCATACAATTTGGATTACTGTGGCATCAAATTGCTTTCTGACTTGGAAGAAATTAAAAGAATCCAGTAGAAAGATTTAAATTACCTACAAAACAGAAGTAGTAACAAGAAGTCTGTCAACAGTTTTGGATTATAAATGTGGATTATCTGTCTTTTTACCAAACTGGTTAGTTTCTCTTCATTTCAAACATATATATGTATATTAGGGGGGAAAAGCACAATTACTTCAGTTTCACATGAAGTTAGTTGAGGAAGGAGAGGGAAAAGGGACTAATAAAATGTAGGACCAATATTGTTAAAACTGTAACAAGAATCTTTACCCAAGTGTGGCTCAAAATAAAGATACCATTATGGTTCTGGCACAGAGCTTTTTTTAATATAAATATTGTGCGTCTATATACAAATATAAGCAACACTTTCTATGTTAAATACATGAATTTTTGTGGATAACAGTTAATTTAATTGAATGGCACTGATGAAGGGGATGTGATTAATTTTTTTTTTTATAAAAGTTAATTAGTGTTTCAGATGCCATAACATTTTTTGGGCTTCACACTCTGCACATTGACTAGCAAGAGAAAAACATTATCACAATAAAAATTTAAAAAGTTCTAACTTATTTAAAATATAACACAAAAATATTATGTGTAGCCAGGACCATCCACCTGGGGTATGTCAAAAAAGCAAGACGATGGTAACTCTACTGTGGTGTGAACCCCTGCCTTATTACTGTAATTCACAACAAGCTTGTATCTGTAAAGTGCTGTCTTCAGTGTAACTATGAAAATACAAATGCACTATTTGTTCTGGTAGCTTATTAATCTAATTACACATACAAATTGTTACAAGATTTGATAAGTGTTGTTATTTTATTATTGTAATTATTCACATTTTAGAGTTGTATAAATAAATTAATATACATAGGATGGAAAATATAAAGTCTGAAAAAATTGCAAAGAAAAATGGAATTTTCAACACAGAATGGCACATTGGTTATCTACTATTAAAGTCCCTGCTTCAAATTTCATTTCAATCACAAATACAGTGGTCAGCCTCAGGGAAGCCATTATTTTCTTCATATTAGAATATTGTAGCCTACTTTTTAGAGCAAATGTATGGATTCTGAGACAATGCCTCACTGCCTGTCATTATTCTATATATCATATAACAAAAAGTATCTAGATAGTATTCTGCGGTTTACTATTTCTCCTTTGGACTGTATATTCCGTTGTGATAATTTGTTCCATAATTTTATGAAGCAAATTATCCCTTAAAACTCAGAAACATTTTTAGATAATGCAAGGTAGATTTCGCACAATTTCTGACT